AGTGATGTCATCATTCGACCATTAAGTATTGTAGGACACCCGATGATGATAAATCACAGAAACTTTGGTGCCTCTGTGAATTTCTGTGTAGGAGATATAGCAGTTTATGTTTTTATGGCGAGTAGGTGAACTTTGACTCCTGCTAACCCCCCTTCAGCATACTCAAAAACTCACAGTTTTGATAACTTTAGATGGGACATGCCTTATGAACAGACTGACTGAGTTTGAAGCCGATCAATCGAAATCCCTAGGAGGAGTTCGATCAAATACGAAGGCTGTAAACGGCAAAAATGGCCTCAAAATTGGACCTTCAATCCAAAATGGCCGACTTCCTGTGATACTTGCACTATGACATTAATTGTAAATTTTGAGCATCTTGGGGAGCTCTACAAGTGTACCAAATTTCATGTCTCTAGGATAAAGTAAGTGAATAGCAAAGGGTCCTTTGAAAATTTGTAGGTGGCGCTATTGAGCCATTTCTTATGGGATTTTTGCGATGACCTTAAAATACAAAATTTTGAAACTCCCTTTACGCCTCCGCCAAGTTTGGTGAGTTTTTGAATATGATAAAGCCCCCAAAAAGGCCCCTCTTTAGGGGGGCAGAATAATAATAAGAAACAGTAGGAAAACAATAGGCCTTCGCAGCGCTTAGCTGCTCGGGCCTAATTAAATCAAACAAATGTGACCTCACTGTTTTGGAGTAATTCTACAATCATTTAGTGACAGATTCCTGCTCATCCTGAGATTCCTGGGTTTGTGGACAGACTCAGTCATGGCGCCTGCAGGACCAGCGTGAGCTTTGATGTCCAAACTAGTAATGTATGTGAATGCAGAAATCCCACAACCTCTAAAATCTGACACTGTCCGTTTTTGTTTACTTTTTGTGAACAAAGATTTCTTCAGTAGTTCTTGGTGCAGCGCCCCCACAGGCGATGGGGGGAACAGGGTTTCAGTTGGTTTGGATTGTTTGACAGCGGTGTGAAAGTGAACCACTGCTGCTGAAAATGTAACACATGGTGCAATTTTGGTCTCCAATGGAACCAAGTCTACTGGACTATCAGGTGTGAAAACAGCCTTCCTCGCTGGCCTGGATAACAACCATCTTCACCAAGAGAAGGCCCCATGGCTCCACAGACCACAGGTCTCAAACTCCAGTCCAGGAGGGCCACTGCACTGCATCCACAGCTGAATAGAATAATTAGGTCATCAAGGCTCTGGAGAACTTATCTACACAAGGAGGAGGCCATTACTACTATGAAATCTACAAAGATAAAGTCTTTAAAGTTAGGGTTGCATGTCTTAGTGTTGAGTCAAGCTCAAGAGAAAAGTTTTTGCAGAAATCTTAATCAAAAACATGAACTGTGCAGCAGCTTTATTTGCCACAGCTGACAGAATCACAAACTGTCCAGACTGAATCACCTGAACCTGAAATCAAACACAACCGCAATGAATTTATCAGTGGAGAAAATAAAAACTAGTGAGTTCTGAACATCCACAATAAATCCAATTTCACTTGTTAAGCCAGTGAATATTACTAGCATGTGCACAGAAAGCTGCTAATGTAACCAGCCCAGCTTCCTTTTGCTCCAGACATACGAACTGATTCATCCTTCAAGAACTTTAATGATCTCTTTAATCAGCAGGATCATCTGCAAAGCCACGATTAGCCTCAGCTGAACTCAGATGGCCAGGAAGCGGCTTGTAACAGGTTGGCCTTTTTCGGCTGGATTTTTCAGTGCAGATAGATGATATTAAGCAGAGTTTAGGTGGAACAGCAGGTTTATTCCTCCCAGCATCACAAACAACAAGTCACAATCTCAGTCTTATAATGTCTCTCAATGTCTGTGTCTCAAAATCTGTCTCACAGGTGAAAATTGCGATCTTAAATAGTCCCAGCTGTGACAGTTAAAACAATCTGAAAATTCATAAGAGAATCCCATCTTACCCTGTTCCACTTAATTGAATAAAATACATTTTACTACAACCACATCAACTTCCTTTTTATAAATATTTTTTATGTTTTATCCTTACCCTTACTAAAACACCATAAAACAGTACACCATAAAACAATACACCCCTCTCCCATTCTTCTCAATGGTCTCTCCCAGGACCTATATCATTGTCCAGCCCCTTAGGACAATATTTGTCCAAACATCCTGAGAGGACACATAAAAAGACAGGTGAGTCACTATATTAGCACATTCCATACCTAATAAATTATGCACATCATTTATTTAGTTTTATCCACCAATAGCTCATTGCTCTGAGTACCAATTCTCCTCTCTTCACAGTTAACCACCTCCACTGGCCAATGAGGAGCAGCTGTGCAGAGCCCAGAACAAAGGCTACACACCAATCCCTAAAATACTCAATAAATACAATTAAAACTTCCTGAGTGCAAAATGTTATTAATTTATAGATCTACTTTGAAAGTGCAGTGCTAAATAAAGTACATAGTGAGAAAGTGCAAATGTTTTTACAGTGCTATACAATACATTGAATAAATTAACTCTGTAATGAAGGCCTCTTCATTACACGGCTACTGGAGCTGACCTCCTCCTGCGTCTCGGTCCGGTCCGGTCCGGTCCGATCCGGTCCGGTCCTAACCTTATTGTGGATTGCAGAAATGACCGTATTCAGAGAAACAAGTTACTTCGCAATCTTGGTCCTGCTATTGATGCAACAGCAATGTCTAATTGGTGTTGCATAAAGATTCAGGAAGCGGAGGACATCAGGCTAAATTTGATTCTTAGAAACTTTTTTTTTTTTTTTTTTTAAAGTTCGGTTAATAAATTTTAATTTAGTTAATTTTTTTTATACTTTATCAATTTTCACAGCATGTTCCTTACAGAGTTTATGTTTTATACAACGCTGTTAACAAGTAAAGCCCCAAAACGTGACAAAAACACAAACAAAAATAAACATGCACACAAAAAATAGAGACAAACGAAAAAACAAAAATCTGTTGATAGCTGACTAGAAAAATATGACAAAAGTTTGGTTACGATGAGGTATTCATCTTGAATGTTTCCATGTATTGTAAAAATGGCTGCCATGTTTTGATAAATTTGGCTGTTGAGCCTGTCAGTGTACATCTTATCTTTTCTAAATGTGAAAGTTTCATGAGCTCTGCAAGCCTCTGTTCATGTGTAGGAGAAGCTTTCTGTTTCCACCTCAAAAGTAAATGACTTGCAATCAACGTAGCAAAAGCTACTGGATTTGAATCATTCTTGGACAGTAAAACATTCGGGGTGTGACTCCAAAGATTGCAGTTAGAGCAGAAGGACCAAATGTAACTTTGTATATTTCTGAGAATGTATTGAATATTGATGACCAATAGATATGAAGCTTTGGACGCCCAGAAAGTATGAATAAGAGAACCGACTTCTGACCTGCATTGATGACATAAGGGATCATTCCCTGGATAAAACCTAGCTAGTCTTTCATTAGAGATATGCAACCGGTGCAGCACCTTGAACTGGAGGAGCCCATGTCTAGCGCATATAGAAGAGGAGTGAACCCTGTGCAGAATAGATTGCCAGAGCTCATCTGTTAATGTGATTGCAAGATCTTTCTCCCAATGTGACTTAATAATGGAAAGAGAAGGAGATTGTAGATCTAGCAGTATGGTATAGATCTTTTTAATCACCCCCCTTTGATGGCTGTTTATACCTATGATTTCATCCAGAGCTGTTTCCTCAGGCAATTCAGGAAATGAGGGACATTTATTTTTCACTAAATGCAGCAGTTGTAAATAGTGGAAAAAATGTGCATGTGGAATGTGAAACTGTTCCACGAGTTGTGCAAATGAAGCAAAAATCCCATCAATGAAAAGGTGTTTAACTTTACTTAGTCCATTACTTTCCCAAACTTTAAAGGCAGAATCAGATATAGAGGGTGGGAACATATGATTTGAACAGATAGGAGTATTAATTGACATCAAGTGTAACCCCAATTTTTTCCTACACTGCACCCAGACTCTAAGGGAGTTATATATTATAGGGTTGCACTTATAGGTACATATCTCTAAAGGGAGAGCAGATGTCAACAAAGCAGGTAAGCTAGCCTAGCCACAATTAGACGACTCAATCTGAAGCCAAGATGGGGTTGGCTTCACTAAACCAATATAGCATGTTTCGTATATTTGCAGCCCAGTAATAAGACTGGAAATTTGGTAAAGCCAATCCACCCATAGGTCTAGGCCTCTGCATGAAATCTTTACGTATTCTGCGAGACTTATTATTCCAAATAAAAGCAGAGACATGTTTATCTAGTGTCACAAAGAATTCCTTTGGGATACAACCTGGAATAGACTGAAATAAATAAAGGAACTTAGGCAATATGTTCATTTTTATAGAACTGACACGGCCTATTAACGATAGCGGCAGATTGTTCCACCTTTGAAATTCTAATTTAGTATTTTCAAGAAGTGGTACAAAATTCTTTTTAGAGAGATCTTTATAACCCCCAGATAAGTCACATAAAGAAACTTTTGTTTTGTCGTGTTCCACTCATTACCAGTTGGTGGCTTGTTACAGAAAAATCTGAGTGTTAATTTTCTGTGACCGCAGGGAATCGCAATAGAGCGATTATTCTGGCCAGAACAACCTGCGACCAGTGTGATCCATTTCTTAATCAGTTGCCGATTTACTAAACAACCAGCTGGTTTCCATATTCCACAGCGATTCGATTCGATGGTCATTGTTCCGCCTCATAAACAAATATATTGTCTCCATCAGTGTGACGGTAATACAACTCCAGCTGCATCAGTATTGATTTGGACACCATCGCCTCCTGGCACACATTTTTCTGTAACACCGGGTCCGTTCAGCCCAACAGAACCGTTTCAGAACTCGGCTGGACCTTTTGGACATGGAAACCGCAGAACTGACCAGAACCAGAACCAGAACCGATGATGAGCAGTAATCTAAGAGTACAGATGGTATTTCCTGTTTCTGACGTCATCACAGCGTCACTGACCAGACAAGGAAGAAGCTGAGTGGTCGTCATCATAACAACGTTTATTTGCATTTTGTGTTGAAATCTTCAGTACAGTCTGCCCTCTGACAGGAATGCATGAGAGAAGACGATTGGCTCAAAACAGTCACATAAAAATCAATGAGGATCAATGAACACAAACCCCGCCCCCTTCACGTGACCCCGCCCCCAACCTGAACATCCAGGTGAGTCCCTGAACTCCACAGAAGCCCTTTAGAGGCAAACATAGAAAAGATGAGTCAGTAATAAAAAGGCAGCATCAACCCCCCCCCCCTCACCCCTAAGGCCCCGCCCCTGAATGACATCATCGACACATTCAACAAAGGCCTGAAGTGAAATGGTCCAGAACAGACAAAAGCCCAGCAGTGAGTCACTGAGAGCAACCAATCAGAGCACAGGCCCACCCCTTTGCCGTCGCCTGATTGGATAAGAGATGTGAGCTGAATGTGACTGAAGTGCTGCCCTCTAGTGTTGAGCACAAATATACACACAGACGTCTGCAGCATATACAAACAACACAGATCCTTTATGAACAGAGAGGGCTCACTTTGATCAATTCTTCTCAAGATGAAATGGGATTTTCAGCAAAGCGGGAGGGTTCACTCTGATTGGTTCTCTGTCACAGTTTTAACCTGAAGGTCACCTCGCCAAACAATCACTTCCTGTTTCATGCTGTTGGTTTTCTGTTGGCAACAGTGTGAAGCTTCTGAAACACAAACCAGTGGATCTAGAACCTGATGGGTCAGAACCGCTTTAAACATGGACATAATTTTTAACAGAATGTTCCTTTTCTCTGTTGTATTCATTTAGACTGAAACTGAATGTCATCTGTGGCTTTTCAGAATAAAAGCCTGCAGCTGTTTGCATCCTTCAGTGATATTTTAATTCACAGATTTAAATGAAATTGATTTTCACTATTTTAACTAAAAAGCTGTAGATGGTTGTTTTGAAACAAAATTGAAATCTTCCAGGTTTCCTCTGATTCACAAACTTCCTGTAAAACAAAAGACTTCCTGTTTAACTTTGAGGTCAACTCTTCTCACCGGAGGAAAATCAAACTGTTTGTTTGGGAAAAATGATTCTCTTGTTTAAGAAATTCCTCCCCTTCAGCTCCCTGCTGCCCCCGGTGGCAGACGGGAGGATAACAGGTGCCATGATGATCTTTGGACAGAAAAATGTTGACATCACAGGAGTGTCAGGTATTAACCAAGGGTGGACTGTGCTTAACCCTCCTGTTGTCCTCTGCTCATGTCGACCGAGGACAAGCCCTTAAAAAATTTGTTTTTCAATTGCAGCTGCATACAGAAACTTTAATCTAACAGTCCTGCATCAGAACTACGGTGTGCACAACTCAGGGGAAGTTTAGGCTCAAGCAATTCAAATGTGAACTTTACAAAAGAAATAAAGATAACCAAACCCAGGCCTCAGGTCAGACTGACCGGAAGACTAAGGAAATTACAGCTGGACAGGCAAACAGTATGGAATGGCATCACTGATCTCCGTAAAACTGATATCTTTTCAAATTTCCCCCCCCTCCTGTTGCCCTCGGGTTGACATGACCCGAGGACAAGCCCTTATAAAACATTTTTTTAATTGCAACTGCATACAGCAACTTGAAATCTAACAGTCCTGAATCAGACCTACAGTGTTCACAACTCAGATGGAATTTTCTGCTGCAGCAATTCAAATGTGAACTTGACGAAAAAAATAAGAACAACCTCCTGTTGTCTTCGGGTCAAAATGACCCGAAGACAAGAGGAGGGTTAAAAGGCCAAAAGCAGTCAATCGAAACTAGGATGAAAGTCGTTCAATAGCAGTGAAGGTATTGAAGGTTGATGAGGACTGCAGTAAGTCTTTCTTCTTCACTGTGTCTGGGAGAATTACAGCAATTCAGTGACACAAACTTTAATCAAAGATTGTTGTAGTGAATGTGTGTTTTACGTATTTATCCAGAGAACTGTGTATTTAGCTCCAGACAGTTAAAATTGACTGACTTTGAATTAATATTTATGTCAAAAAAATGGACATATCTTCAAAGCACATGTGGGTGAAGGAGATGACATCATGTGTGGCTCTGGAGCGTCTCTCTCATATTGTCAGAGGAAAGGGAGCCAAATTTGAAGAAACACAGTCGCAGTTTCTGAAACACTACAAAGGAAATGAACAGTGCAGATTGCTGCAATGTTTCTTTTTCCGCTATTTCTGTTTTCTGATATACATGCTGTTGAGTTGCTTTTTGCTGCTGTTTCTTTATTATTTAAGTTTGTTTACTTTGGGGACTGAGTTGTTCAATGTGAATCCTATGTCAAATGTATCACTGCCACTTGTTTTATGTTATAAAATTCAATAAATATGTTTAAAAAAACAAATAAGGGTGCACCGATTTATTAGCACAGATTTCCTAAGTTTCAAAGATCAGCGATTGGCCGATATTTGTGAAGCCGATCTTATTTTTCTCTGAAAGGTCTAAAAATCAACCACTGTCCTCATTTCCTCTGCAGTGAAGTTAGCCCCGCCCACCTGGTTAGCCCCGCCCACCCAGGTATTTGCAATAGTCGCCCCCGTTATCAACTCAGCGACTTTCTATATTTGTCGACGTTTCAGACAAAAACAATCGGTTTATTAAGGATCGGACAGAAATGTGCCATCGGTGCAGCTCTAGTGTTCACCTGTCCAGAGAGGGCAGATCAGGTGACTTCCTGTGGCGGATTGGAGGAGACCTGGAAGGTTCTGAATCAGATTCTGGAGTGTTTCTGGGAAGACGGCCGACGTCTGCAGACGTCCGGACAGTTTCTGTGGGTTTCCCGTCGAATTCCTGACAGCGGTCCTGAAATGTTCGGGTGCGAACAGGTGCTTGGCGGTCGGTGACCCCGCTGGTGTCAGGAGCAACAACAGAGACACCTGACCTGGAAGAGGCCCCGCCCCTCTAGGAGGGGGGAGTGAGGGGAGGCAGGCCCTCGTCGCTCGGCGTCGCCGTGTCGTCGCTCGTCTCCAGGCTGTCCTTCAGGCTCAGCGTGCTGTCCGAGGGAGGCGGGGTTCCTTCTGCGGCGACCCGGCTCGATGGGTCCGGGTTTCCGGCGCCGACCGGGTCGGGTCCAGCCAGAGACTGCGTGGCGGCCGCGTCGCCCGCCGGGTCACCGGCCGTGTTGGGTCGGCGCGCGGCGGGCTTGGGGGCGTCGACCAGCTTCCTGACGAGACGCCACTGCATGACGCTGGTGTCCTTCCCGCCCGTGGAGATCAGGTGGCTGTCGCTGTGCAGGAAGCTGACGTTGGTCACGTGACTGCTGTGGGCGCTGTACTTGTGGCTGGGCGCCTGCGGAGACAACGGTTAGTCTGTCGGAACGTGCCGGCTTGTTCCGGTTCTGGTTCTGGACCCACCTTGAATCTGGAGCAGGGGTAGGCGAACAGGTGAACCTTGCAGAAGTCGTCCGCCAGCGCGATCACCTTCCTGTTGTGGGACCTCACCAGAGCATTGATGTCTGTACCATCAGAACCTTCGGGCCAGACACCTGGAACACAGCAGCTTCCATCAGAACCTTCAGAACCATCGGAACCGACCCCGGCCCCAGCAGAGCACTGACCGAACACATGGTATCCCAGAACGCAGGTGTAGGTGGCCCATTCGATGTCTTTGCACTCGGACCGGTTCCGGATCAGCTGGCAGCCGTTCTGGATGTCCCCTGGAAATACACACAGGAGTATTATGGGGGAACTAGTGGAGAACTCTGGGAACTATGGGGGAACTATGGGTGTACTTCATTGGGCTATCTGTGTCTACTCACAGTAAAGGATCTCATAGTCCCCAGAGTTGGACATGATGAACTTGTTGTCAGGTGACCAGTCCAGGTGTGTGATGTAGCTGGAATGACCCTGGAGAGACATTCAGGGGAATCAGGACATCTGCAAGATTCCCCTTGCAAATGTCCCAGAACCAGGTTTTCAGGTTCTGGTCCTGAAAACCTGGGTTTTGATTGGACGGAACCAAGCGTGGCTGTGGTTCTGCTCTCTGACCTATGAACCAATCAGGGGGCAGGGAGCCGACCAATAGGAACTCACCGAGCATTTCCCGTAGCGGCTGTACCTGCGGCCCTGCTCCCACACGCTGTACAGGTAGATGAAGTTATCATGCGACCCCACGGCCAGCATGCTGCCATCTGCAGGACGGAGGGAGAGAGGCATGATGGGAACCACATTCCTTTCACATCGCCACGGTTACAGCAGACTCCACCCACCAACTGAGAAACGCAGAACCGACAGCTGCTCGTTGCCGTCCGAGTGGATCCCGACCAGATCTTTGCTCTCGGCGTCCAGAACAAACCACCTGGAGACATGTAAGAGCAGAGCGACCAATCAGAGGAGAGGGAGGCGGGTACAACCAATCAGAACCAGACGCAGCGATGACACCGCTGACCTTCCCGAGTGCGTTCCTATGACAACTACGGCTCCAGTGGGATGGAACTCCGCACAGTGTCCGTGTTCCTGCAGGAGCAACGCACCGTCAGTCCTCCAACCAATCAGCAGGCCCCAGTCACAAGCCCCGCCCCTCACCTCCAGAGTGCGGCTCCACTGCAGGCTGTGATCCAGAGAGTTCCAGAGACAAACCGTCTGGTCCTGGGCGCAGGTCAGGAACTGCTCCCTGCTGGGGTGGGTGGCCAGACCCCACAGCTCGTCCGTGTGTCCCTGAACGCACCGCAGAGAGAGGGAGAGACCCTGAATGCACCGCAGAGAGAGGGAGAGACCCTGAATGCACCGCAGAGAGAGGGAGAGACCCTGAATGCACCGCAGAGAGAGGGAGAGACCCTGAATGCACCGCAGAGACCCTAAGCGCACCGCAGAGAGGGAGAGACCATGAATGCACCGCAGAGAGAGGGAGAGACCCTGAATGCACCGCAGAGAGAACCTGAATGCACCGCAGAGAGGGAGAGACCCTGAATGCACCGCAGAGAGAGGGAGACCCTGAATGCACCGCAGAGAGGGAGAGACCCTGAATGCACCGCAGAGAGAACCTGAATGCACCGCAGAGAGGGAGAGACCCTGAATGCACCGCAGAGAGAGGGAGAGACCCCGAATGCACCGCAGAGAGAGGGAGAGACCCTGAATGCACCGCAGAGAGAGGGAGAGACCCTGAATGCACCGCAGAGACACTAAACTCACCGCAAAGAGGGAGAGACCTTGAATGCACCACAGAGACACTAAACGCACCACAGAGAGGGAGAGAGCCTGAATGCACCGCAGAGACCCTAAGCGCACCGCATAGAGGGAGAGACCGTGAATGCACCACAGAGAGACCCTAACGCATCGCAGAGAGGGAGAGACCCTGAATGCACCACAGAGAGACCCAAAGCGCATTGCAGAAAGGGAGAGACCCTGAATGCACCGCAGAGACCCTAAGCGCACCGCAGAAAGGGAGAGACCTGAATGCACCGCAGAGACCCTAAGCGCACCGCAGAGAGGGAGAGACCCTGAATGCACCGCAGAGAGAACCTGAATGCACCGCAGAGAGACCCTGAATGCACCGCAGAGAGAGGGAGAGACCCTGAATGCACCGCAGAGACCCTAAACGCATCGCAGAGAGGGAGAGACCCTGAATGCACCACAGAGAGAGGGAGAGACCCTGAATGCACCGCAGAGACACTAAACGCACCGCAGAGAGGGAGAGACCCTGAATGCACCGCAGAGACCCTAAACGCATCGCAGAGAGGGAGAGACCCTGAATGCACCACAGAGAGACCCTAACGCATCGCAGAGAGGGAGAGACCCTGAATGCACCACAGAGAGAGGGAGAGACCCTGAATGCACCGCAGAGACACTAAACTCACCGCAAAGAGGAGAGACCTTGAATGCACCACAGAGACACTAAACGCACCACAGAGAGGGAGAGAGCCTGAATGCACCGCAGAGACCCTAAGCGCACCGCATAGAGGGAGAGACCCTGAATGCACCACAGAGAGACCCTAACGCATCGCAGAGAGGGAGAGACCCTGAATGCACCACAGAGAGACCCAAAGCGCATTGCAGAAAGGGAGAGACCCTGAATGCACCGCAGAGACCCTAAGCGCACCGCAGAAAGGGAGAGACCCTGAATGCACCGCAGAGACCCTAAGCGCACCGCAGAGAGGGAGAGACCCTGAATGCACCGCAGAGAGAACCTGAATGCACCGCAGAGAGACCCTGAATGCACCGCAGAGAGAGGGAGAGACCCTGAATGCACCGCAGAGACACTAAACGCACCGCAGAGAGGGAGAGACCCTGAATGCACCGCAGAGACCCTAAACGCATCGCAGAGAGGGAGAGACCCTGAATGCACCACAGAGAGACCCTGAATGCACCGCAGAGAGACCCTGAATGCACCGCAGAGAGAGGGAGAGACCCTGAATGCACCGCAGAGAGAGGGAGAGACCCTGAATGCACCGCAGAGACACTAAACTCACCGCAGAGAGGGAGAGACCCTGAATGCACCACAGAGACACTAAACGCACCGCAGAGAGGGAGAGACCCTGAATGCACCACAGAGACACTAAACGCACCGCAGAGAGGGAGAGAGCCTGAATGCACCGCAGAGAGACCCTAACGCATCGCATAGAGGGAGAGACCCTGAATGCACCACAGAGAGACCATAACGCATCGCAGAGAGGGAGAGACCCTGAATGCACCACAGAGAGACCCTAACGCATCGCAGAAAGGGAGAGACCCTGAATGCACCACAGAGACACTAAACTCACCGCAGAGAGGGAGAGAGCCTGAATGCACCGCAGAGACCCAAAGCGCATCGCAGAAAGGGAGACCCTGAATGCACCGCAGAGACACTAAACTCACCGCAGAGAGGGAGAGACCCCGAATGCACCGCAGAGAGACCCTAAACGCATCGCAGAGACACTAAACGCACCGCAGAGAGACCCTAAACGCATCGCAGAGACACTAAACGCATCGCAGAGAGACCCTGAATGCACCGCAGAGAGAGGGAGACATTGAATGCACTGCATGTACCTCTGTGATGTCATGTGACCTCACCTGGACCTCCACCTGGAAGCCGTCGTTGAAGGTCCCTCTAAGGATGAAGTTCCTGGACGTCCCAACCAGGAACTCGTCTCCCTTTCCCTCCGCCAGCGCGCGGATGTTCCCGTACTGATCCGGGACCTGAGAACACGTTAGGTTAGGGTCCGTCTCTGTGTGTGTGTGTGTGCGTGTGCGTCAGACCTCGATGTCGCGGTCCAGCTGCAGCTGTTGGTCCCACAGGACAATCCTGCGGTCTTTTCCTCCTCCGGTCAGCAGCGAGCCGCTCCGCATGTCGCACATGCAGAAAACTCCTTTTTCATGAGCTTCGATTGGCCGCAGGTCGGTCCTCATCTGGAAGGCTTCACACACACACACACACACACACACAACACACACACACACACACACACACACACACACACACACACACACACACACACACACACACACACACACACACACACACAGAGCAGTGAGCATTTGAGCCGACACTTGGACCTCGTCAAGGTGAAGCTCAGGTTTGATGACGTCCCCCTCCCACCTTGTGGTGCCTTGCCAGTGGGCGCTTCGGCAGAGTTCCGGGTCCAGACCAGCAGCTGTCCGGCCGAGTCTCCAGTCACGATGTCGCCGTTGCTCCGGAAGGTCAGGCACTGGATGAACTTGGGCCGGTCGTGACTCTGACCACAGAAAAGGAAATGTTGGATCACTGACCTGCCGCAGAGAACAAGGCTCTGTCCTTCTGAACCAAACAGTTGGTCCCAGGTACCAGTTGGTCCCAGGTACCTGTTGGTCCCAGGTACCTGTTGGTACGTCTACTGGGTGCTCCTGGCTCTACTGGGAGCCAGGAGCTGCAGATGCATGCAAATGTATGCAGAATCCCTTTAGCCAGTAATATGGTGGGCGGTCCAAAAGGTTCTGTTGGGTTGTGCTCACCCCGAAGAGTCCCTGTTTGCGCAGCAGGGAGTTCCCGTTCCAGGCCCAGAAGAAGATGTGGAACTTCCCACAGGTAACGATCGTGTTTGGGTCAGTCGGGTGGAACTCCACGGCCAGAACCACATCGGTGGTTGTCTGTAAGGAGACGAGATGTACCACTTAGAACCGGGTCCAGACCTGTCAGAACCAGGTACCAGAACACCCCAGCTAGTACCGGTTGCAGAACCCGGTCAGAACCGGCTCACCTTGATCTCTGCGATCTTGGACTTCTTCTGCCAGTCCCAAACCGTCAACATGTGGTCGTTGCAGTCATCGATAACGCTCAGGTGCTGACCCGAGTCCTGAAACACGGAGACCCGTTAGGAAGGTTCTACAGAACCAGAATGTGCATCATGGCCGCCTCCTGATGGACACTCACCGCTCTGGAGAACGCCAGAGACCCGACGCCACGTTCAAAGGTTCCCAAACCGATGACTTGCAGAGTGGAAAGGCTGATGCTGTCCCAAACCCGACATGAGGCTGCAGCGCCTGAAACGGCCGCACAGAACCAGTCAGGTTTCAACTTTAGCGGTCAGGGTCCCAACCAGATTTCAGTCAGAACACAGAAGGACAACCGTTCACACAGTTCTGTTCATACATGTACATGTGCTCTGTGAATGTCTCAGACAACAGGGAACGGAGGTTGAGGTGCCAGAGATACCATCATGGGAGGACAAGCCCCTACATGGATGTACCACCAGCAAATAACCCAAGTGGCTGATATCAGTAAATCCTACCAATGGCTGGAAAAAGCTGGACTCAAGGACAGCACAGCCCTCATCCTGGCCGCCCAGGAACAGGCCCTAAACACCAGAGCAATAGAGGCCCAGATCTACCACACCAGACAAGACCCAAGGTGTAGGTTGTGCAAGGAGGCCCCTGAGACAGTCCAGCACATCACAGCAGGGTGCAAGATACTGGCAGGGAAAGCGTACATGGAACGACATAACCAAGTGGCAGGCATAGTGTACAGAAACATCTGTGCAGAATATGGACTGGAAACCCCGAGATCAAAGTGGGAAACACCCCCAAAGGTGGTGGAGAACACCAGAGCTAAGATCCTGTGGGACTTCCAGATCCAGACAGACAAAATGGTAATGGCGAACCAACCAGACATTGTCGTAGTGGATAAACATCAGAGGAAAGCCGTTGTGGTAGATGTAGCAATACCAAGTGATTGCAACATCAGGAAAAGGAGCACGAGAAACTGGAGAAATACCAGGGCCTCAGGGAGGAACTGGAGAGGACCTGGAAGGTGAAGACCACAGTGGTGCCTGTGGTCATCGGGGCCCTCGGGCAGTAACCCCCAAACTGGAGCAGTGGCTACAACAGATCCCAGGAACATCAGACATCTCAGTCCAGAAATGTGCAGTCCTTGGCACAGCCAAGATACTGCAGGACCCTCAAGCTCCCAGGCCTCTGGTAGAGGATATATAGATCTATGTATATAGATCTATATATATATAGATATATAGATATAGATCTATAGATATATAACCTATGGTAGAGGCTCAGAGGATATATATAGATCTATATATATCTATATATATATAGATCTATCTATATATCTATATATATATAACCTATGGTAGAGGCTCAGAGGATATATATAGATCTATAGATCTATATATATATCTATATATAGATCTATAGATCTATATATATCTATATATATATAGATCTATATCTATATATCTATATATATATACCTATGGTAGAGGCTCAGAGGATCAGAACCACCCGCGGTGGGTAAGAAGGGAATTTTTAAAAGGAATTTGTTTTTTATATATACCATCATAATGGGCTGATTTCCGTGAAAAAGTGTCTGATCGGTGATCACTAAACCGATCACCTGTCCTCTCCTTCTCAGCCTCCAGCTGGTCTCCTGTTTCCTTCTCGCTGTGCAGCAAAAAATCCTGACCTCCGGGTGAAGCTCATCAAAATGCATCAACACAACGAATCTAATGTGATATTTGTAAAACAAGAACTAGATTGATTTGGTTCCATCGAGGCTCAACGCAGGAACAAAAGACATCCGGATGCAGACAGCAGGGAGAGCAGCGCAGCTACAACACTCAGCGATTAGCATCTCGGTCAGAAAGCTGAACTAACCCAACAATCATTCAAGTGTTGGAGCTGCAGAGTGAGACGCCGGTTCTGCTCCCGCTGTTCAACCGCAGCTACTGGTGGGATTTCACATATTCAAACTTTCAACATGTCCAAACATGAGATCATTTATGAAAAAATAATCCATGTCCTCTGCCCCTCCCTGTGTTCTGCAGAATTCCTCAGCTCAGTCAGAAAAAACAAATCAGAACCGGCATTCACCAGCCAGCCATGCTATCTGGAAGTTGTGATTCAACCTGTATTTGACTGTGACATGTTTCTGTCATCAAGTCCGATTATTACATTGTTTTTTTCTAAAGTCACTTGCAATTTAATAACCCCAACCCTTTCCTGGACTTGCTTTTGAAATAAGCAGAGACACAATCAACCCCAGAATTTGACTGACATCCAGTAGTTTCAGTCGGACTCTCCCTGTCCATCATTTCCCTGATGATCCGTCCAAATGTCTTCGTTAATATCCAGGTAATATAAATATGTATGAATAATATTTATATGAGCTGTGAATGTCGTCACAGGTCATGTAGGAAACTTTAATCATCAAGACTAATATGATCATAAAGTTACGCAACTGAACGTCATTATAATCATTAATGTTAAGATTAGTGTCACTAATCTGTGCAGCCATCTGATTGGTGGAGCCGCAGGAGGAGCTGCAGCAGGGCCGTAACACAGAGGGGGCTGCAAGGGGCTCTAAACTCCTATCTAGAGTTTTACAGACTATTGTGGAACAAAGAAAAACATGCAAAAATTACTCAAGGTGTTTTTGTTAAACGATTAATTCTTCAGTTTCAGATTGTTTAATGGTTCAACATCAACAATGTTTAGGAAAAATTGTTGATGTTTATAAAATAAATGGCGATAACACAAGTATTGGTAAAACTGTAATTTTACATTGATTGGAGGAAGGTTGTTGTCAGCAGATGCTGAAAGTAACTAAAAAGTTACTAAAAAAATGTAATTAGATTATTGAATCAAGTAGTCAGTAATCTAAGTTAATTTTTCAAGGAGTAATTAGTAATCGGATTAAAGTTTCTTTTTCAAATTAACTATGACATCAGTGCATATATAAAGCTATCGTGCTGAGAACTAAAATCTGCTGGTTCCCCCAACAGAACCTTCCCATTCTGGGATCGGAACCGGTTCTGCTCACGCGTCCGTCTTTGTCCACTCCGGCAATCTGTCCAGTGGCGATCCGAATCTTGTCCGGATGGATGGCCAGACTGCGGACAGAGAACGACATCACCTACAGCAGCAGCCAATGGCGGAGCAGGAAGCGGCGCCGAGCGTTCCTCACCACTTGATGCAGTCGGTGTGTCCGAGGTAATGCCTCTGGGTCCGTTCCTCGTAGCTGAACAGAACCGCCACGGACGCGATGAAGTAGACGATCTCTCCAGTGGGAAGCAGGTAGACGTTGGCCCGGCAGTCCCGACCGCGGTACCCATACCTGCAGAGGGTTAAGGAGCACCAGAACCGCACCTGGGGTTCTACTGGACCGCCTGAGGTTCTCCTGGGCTCCATCTGGGCTCTATTAGTCTAACTGGCCGTTCTGGTTCTCCACCTGGTTGGAAGGATACACCCATTCCAGCTTGAGTCGTTCTGGAGGAAGCTCGGCCCGGACGTCGTCATAGTTCTCCACGTCTGAAGGGATGAACATGGTGATTGGTCGACCTCGCATGAACATCTTGATAGAGTTTCCCTCTGAAACATCAAACAGAACCGAGGTGCCGGGTCAGACGGGCCATTGCTGCAACAGAACCGGTCAGACCAGAACCTCCAGCAGGAGTCCGAAGGTTCTGCTGACAGAATCCAACTCCAGACGTAGAGCAGGTGAGAAGCAGGTAAGGATTGGTTACAGGTGAGGGGCAGGTTGGAGGGAGGTTGGTGAAGGCCTGTGATTGGCCCGATTTGAACACAAGGAACCAATCTGATTCGCTGTGAAGCTTTAAAAAAGTTTCAGGCTCCAATCAGGCGCTTTAGTTTGCTCTTGCAGATCAACACTATAAACAAGGAAGAGGCGGGGCCAAACAGTGACATCAGCAGGTGGATGAGTCAGCCAGACAATGGAAGCACACAGAAGGATGTGATTGGTTCAGAAACAGGAAGTGTTACACTTTGTTAGCCAGCTAGCAGGCTTCAGCTGAACTTACCAGCAAGGCTGTTTTTCTCTCGGGTCGACATTTTGGCTGGTGTGAGACAGAGACATGGTCACATGGTCACATGGTCACTCAACAACAACAACAACAACATGGCGTCTGACAGACCACAAGCCAGAAAACATCTGAGGGTCTGGAGTCCTACTGGTTGGTAGACAGTGATGATGAGGATGAGATGGGTATGGTGTGTTTAGCGAGGAGGGAGAACCTACCTTGGCTGACACCGGATCTTTGTGCCTGGAAGAGCAGAAAACACTCATCACTCTCCTCCCTAATCGGACCAGGACACTCACAGCTTCTCAAGAGATCTCAGCTGGGGGTTTGGGTCATTAAATCCAAGAGTGTGTGTGTGTGTGTGGTGTGTGTGTGTGTGTGTTTCGTACTTCTCTGCGTTCTCACCACTTTAGCCAGCAGCTTGGAGGTAGATGCCGCCTTCACCAGCTTGTTCCGTTCTCTCTGCTGAGTCCCAGTTGCTGCTCTGGGATCGTTCCATTCCTGAGACCGCTTTACGCTGGGACCTGGGAGAGACCACACACACACACACGCACACACACACACACACAGTGAGTAGCAGGAATCACAAAACTCTCATCAAGTTCATCATCATTTTGGATGATGTATGGAGTCTCTGAAGTTGAAATGTCAAAGCTTTTACTCAGAAACAACAGAGAGATTTTCTGCTTCATAAACATCCAAGCACCAGGAGGCCACTCAGAACCCGGAGGGGGAGGAGTCAGAGGGGAGGAGTCAGAAGCAAGGTAGCATCACGGTGAGGAGTAAAACCTTTCATTTCAAACAGCTTCGACTCATTTCAGCAGTGAAGAAAGAATCAGAGACGATCCTGGAGGAATATGCTTAAGGCGGTCTGAAAGGGTTAGGCGGTCTGAAAGGTTAAGGTGGTCTGAAGGCTTAAGGTGGTCTGAAAGCTTAAGGTGGTCTGAAAGGCTTAAGACGGTCTGAAAGGGTTTAAGGTGGTCTGAAAGCTTAAGGTGGTCTGAAAGGGTAAGGTGGTCTGAAGGCTTAAGTGGTCTGAAAGGCTTAAGACGGTCTGAAAGGGTTAAGGTGGTCTGAAAGGTTAAGGGTTGAAAGGCTAAGAGGTCCTGAAAGGTGGTCTGAAAGGCTTAAGACGGTCTGAAAGGCTTAAGGTGGTCTGAAAAAGGTGGTCTGAAAGGGTTAAGGTGGTCTGAAAGGCTTAAGGTGGTCTGAAAGGGTTAAGTGGTCTGAAAGGGTTAAGTGGGTCTGAAAGGCTTAAGGTGGTCTGAAAGGTTAAGACGGTCTGAAAGGGTTAAGGTGGTCTGAAAGGTTAAGGTGTCTGAAGGGTTAAGGTGTCTGAAAGGCTTAAGGTGGTCTGAAAGGCTTAAGACGGTCTGAAAGGGTTAAGGTGGTCTGAAAGGGTTAAGACGGTCTGAAAGGCTTAAGGTGGTCTGAAAGGCTTAAGACGGTCTGAAAGGCTTAAGGTGGTCTGAAAGGCTTAAGGTGGTCTGAAAGGGTTAAGGTGGTCTGAAAGGCTTAAGGTGGTCTGAAAGGGTTAAGGTGGTCTGAAAGGGTTAAGGTGGTCTGAAAGGGTTAAGGTGGTCTGAAAGGCTTAAGACGGTCTGAAAGGGTTAAGGTGGTCTGAAAGGCTTAAGGTGGTCTGAAAGGCTTAAGGTGGTCTGAAAGGCTTAAGACGGTCTGAAAGGGTTAAGGTGGTCTGAAAGGCTTAAGGTGGTCTGAAAGGGTTAAGGTGGTCTGAAAGGCTTAAGGTGGTCTGAAAGGCTTAAGACGGTCTGAAAGGGTTAAGGTGGTCTGAAAGGGTTAAGACGGTCTGAAAGGCTTAAGGTGGTCTGAAAGGCTTAAGACGGTCTGAAAGGCTTAAGGTGGTCTGAAAGGCTTAAGGTGGGTCTGAAAGGGTTAAGGTGGTCTGAAAGGCTTAAGGTGGTCTGAAAGGGTTAAGGTGGTCTGAAAGGGTTAAGGTGGTCTGAAAGGCTTAAGGTGGTCTGAAAGGCTTAAGACGGTCTGAAAGGCTTAAGGTGGTCTGAAAGGCTTAAGGTGGTCTGAAAGGGTTAAGGTGGTCTGAAGGCTTAAGGTGGTCTGAAAGGGTTAAGGTGGTCTGAAAGGGTTAAGGTGGTCTGAAAGGCTTAAGGTGGTCTGAAAGGCTTAAGACGGTCTGAAAGGGTTAAGGTGGTCTGAAAGGCTTAAGGCGGTCTGAAAGGGTTAAGGCGGTCTGAAAGGCTTAAGGCGGTCTGAAAGGCTTAAGGTGGTCTGAAAGGCTTAAGACGGTCTGAAAGGCTTAAGGTGGTCTGAATGGCTTAAGGTGGTGTGAAAGGCTTAAGGTGGTCTGAAAGGCTTAAGGTGGTCTGAAAGGGTTAAGGTGGTCTTAAAGGCTTAAGGCGGTCTGAAAGGGTTAAGACGGTCTGAAAGGGTTAAGGCGGTCTGAAAGGCTTAAGGTGGTCTGAAAGGGTTAAGGTGGTCTGAAAGGCTTAAGGTGGTCTGAAAGGCTTAAGGCGGTCTGAAAGGGTTAAGACGGTCTGAAAGGGTTAAGGCGGTCTGAAAGTGTTAAGGTGGTCTGAAAGGGTTAAGGTGGTCTGAAAGGCTTAAGGTGGTCTGAAAGGCTTAAGGTGGTCTGAAAGGGTTAAGGTGGTCTGAAAGGCTTAAGACGGTCTGAAAGGGTTAAGCTGTCTGAAAGGCTTAAGGCGGTCTGAAAGGGTTAAGACGGTCTGAAAGGCTTAAGGCGGTCTGAAAGGGTTAAGGTGGTCTGAAAGGGTTAAGGTGGTCTGAAAGGCTTAAGGCGGTCTGAAAGGGTTAAGGTTGTCTGAAAGGCTTAAGACGGTCTGAAAGGCTTAAGACGGTCTGAAAGGCTTAAGGCGGTCTGAAAGGGTTAAGGTGGTCTGAAAGGCTTAAGGTGGTCTGAAAGGCTTAAGACGGTCTGAAAGGCTTAAGGCGGTCTGAAAGGGTTAAGGTGGTCTGAAAGGCTTAAGGCGGTCTGAAAGGGTTAAGGTGGTCTGAAAGGCTTAAGACGGTCTGAAAGGCTTAAGGTGGTCTGAATGGCTTAAGGTGGTCTGAAAGGCTTAAGGTGGTCTGAAAGGGTTAAGGTGGTCTGAAAGGCTTAAGGCGGTCTGAAAGGGTTAAGGTGGTCTGAAAGGCTTAAGGCGGTCTGAAAGGCTTAAGGTGGTCTGAAAGGGTTAAGGTGGTCTGAAAGGCTTAAGGTGGTCTGAAAGGCTTAAGGCGGTCTGAAAGGGTTAAGACGGTCTGAAAGGGTTAAGGCGGTCTGAAAGGGTTAAGGTGGTCTGAAAGGCTTAAGGTGGTCTGAAAGGGTTAAGGTGGTCTGAAAGGCTTAAGGTGGTCTGAAAGGGTTAAGGTGGTCTGAAAGGCTTAAGACGGTCTGAAAGGCTTAAGGCGGTCTGAAAGGGTTAAGGCGGTCTGAAAGGCTTAAGACGGTCTGAAAGGCTTAAGGCGGTCTGAAAGGGTTAAGGTGGTCTGAAAGGCTTAAGGTGGTCTGAAAGGCTTAAGACGGTCTGAAAGGCTTAAGGCGGTCTGAAAGGGTTAAGGTGGTCTGAAAGGCTTAAGACGGTCTGAAAGGCTTAAGGCGGTCTGAAAGGGTTAAGGTGGTCTGAAAGGGTTAAGGTGGTCTGAAAGGGTTAAGGTGGTCTGAAAGGGTTAAGGTGGTCTGAGGAGTATGTGGAGTTTGTTGCTATGGATACAATAGCCACTTTGCTAGGTAGGAGCTGGTGACCTGGGCTCTAGAGGTCGGGTAGCAGTTTGTAGGTCATAGGTCGGCTATCAGGGTAGTTAACTGCTAAGTTATTTGTTTGTAGGTAGTTAGCAGGTTGCAATTAACTTGTTGTAGTTGGTTAGCAGGTTAAGTGTCCAGGAAATAAGCAAAAGAGCAGAGGTCAGAGGTCGCCCTGCTGCAGCTCATGCAATAAAGCAGTTTCAAAGTTCCTCCCACTCTAAAACCTGATTGGCTGATCAAGAATATCCTCAGCCAATCAGGTACAGAGAAAGCCCTCAGAGACGGTTAGTCGGTAAGATCAGACGCAGCCGACAGATCAGGAAGTGGAACCTTTTTGGGGCGTGGCCTTTGGCGCCGTCAGGGGGGGGGTCGACCTCTGGGGGGGTGGGACGGGACGGGGGACGAGTGATTGGGTGGCGGCTCCTTTAGGGGCGGAGCTTCCTCATGGATCTCCTCCATGTGGGAGCGCTGACTGCTCACCTCCTTCTTCTTCTCTGACCGCTGTGAACAGAAACCGGGACCATGAGACAGCGCCACTTCGGTTCTGATGGGATCTACTCTGGTTCTGGTTGGGTTCTGCTTGGTTTAGTTATGGTTCTAGTTTGGTTCTGGTTCTGCTCTGGTTCTGGTTCTTCTCTGGTTCTGTTATGGTTCTGCTTTGGTTCTGGTTCTGCTCTGGTTCTAGTTTGGTTCTGGTTCTGCTCTGGTTTTGGTTCTGCTCTGGTTCTAGTTTGGTTCTGGTTCTGCTCTTGTTCTGCTCTGGTTCTGGAGCTCCCCAGGTTCTGGTTCTGGTTCTCCCGGGCCCGGTGTTGACCCGGTGGGTTCTTACCTCTTGGCGGCCCGATGACACCGTGTCCTTCCTGGTGACGGAGGCGGAGTCTCTCTTGCGTGGCGTGCCGCCGTTGGCGATGCAGGACAGGACAGAGAGAAGGCTTCGCGCATGGCGGCGCCGCCTGCAGGGGGCAGCGTAGCCGATGCCACCACGCCTTGCAGCGTGTATCCATAGCAGCGGGTGGAAGCGCCTTACCTTTGGTTCCGAGCTGCTTCCTGTTGGCCCCGGAATCCTCAGACGCGGCGAGGCGGCGCAGCACGTCGGCGAGCGCGGCCTTCATCACCGTCAGTCGTCCTCCTGCTGCTGGACGCGAAGCTCCAGCGCCGACAGCCGGTCGTTGACGTCGGACACGCTGGTCCGACATGCTGTCGTCTGCACAGACACCAGAACCCGCTCAGAACCGCAGCGACACAACAGAACCGCAGGCCCATTAGATGGTTCCGAGTTTCAGAACATCTGGAGGGAGGTCTTTCCTACGCTGTGACCTTTGACCCCTGCATGTTTCCCTTCTAAGGACTGGAGCTGAGAATCCAACCTGCAGGTCACACCTGGACCCGTCACAGGTTCTGATCCGACAGGACCTGGAACTGAAACCAGTTCTGACCCAGTTACTTTGATAAAACCCATCAGGGAACCCTAACCCAGAGGAACCGACCCTAGAGGGACTGAACCCTAGAGGGAACTGAACCCTAGAGGGAACTGAACCCTAGAGGGAACTGACCCCTAGAGGGAACAGACCCATAGAAGGAACTGAACCCTAGAGGGAACCCTAGAGGGAACTGAACCCTAGAGGGAACTGAACCCTAGAGGGAACTGAACCCTAGAGGGAACCAATCCTCCAGAGGGAACAGACCCCAGGGACTGATCCTGTGATTACAAGATGAAATGGGACTAGCAGAGCAGTGGATTGGATCAGAACCAAAACAATAAAACACAGGGGTCAAACTCCAGACGTGGAGGTCACTGCCCTGCTGCTCCACCTGGACAGACTGATGAGGTCATTGAGGTTCTGGAGAACTGATGGTCATGAAGCCATTTCATTCATCTAAAACCTGCAAGACTGTGACACCCTGCATTGATGGATCGTCCAATCAGCTTCCAGTAGGGGACTATGTGTGGCCCAACCTGGGGCTCCAGCACCCACTGAGGCCCTTGGTTTCCACCGGGTGGTTCGACCCGGTTGGACCTGTATTCTGCTGGACTTGGAGACCAGAAACGATTCTGTTCCTCCAGGTTAAGCTGGGTTCTGCTACCTGAACTACCTGCACCCAGATGGGACCACACCAGAACCCGGTTCTGGCAGGCTTGGACTCTGAACACCCTCCTGCGGGTGGAGGTGTTGGTTTTGTGGCCCTGCAGCGGCCAGAGGGCGGTGCAGCCTCTTCCTGAAACAAACAGCAGTGACACGTGTAAACCCGCCAGAGGCGCGTGCGGCCCTCACCGTCCTACCTGTGCACGAGCAGGTGAGCAGGTTCGGTTCAGTTCTTGGTGCGTCCCGTACTCACCCAAACTTCCGGTGAAGCCGTCCATTTTCCAGCAGAAAGGCGGGAGTCCGGGCCGAAGGCCTGCGGGAGGAGGAGCGCACACCGCGGGCCTCCGTCCGGGGTTTTCCGCCGCGGCGGAGGAGGAGAGCCGGAAAGGTTCGGGCTCCGCCGCGCTGCGCGCCGTGGCCGGCCGTCACAGAGGCCGAGGATCCGCCGCTTGGCTGCTGGCTGGAGGGGAGAGCCGCTCCGGAGGCCTGGACGGCGGGAGAGAAAAGCAAGACGAGACGCGGAGCCGCGACGCTGCTGCGCGTTTCCGACTGGCTGCTGTGGCTGGAGAGGAGCCGAAAGGAGCCGAGGATAGCCGAGCGGAGGAGGAAGTCTGAGGAAGAAGCGCATCACCGCCACCTGGCGGCGATTTTATGATCGTTTACCGACCGCTGAGGTTTAAAGGTTAAAGGTCAGAACTGGATGGACCGATTGGTTCAATAAAGCAAAAGACGTAACAAGAGGAAAAGTCACTTATTATGCAGAATATAAAAAAGATTAAAATTCACTTTGTAAAAAACACAAAACAAAACTCACTCCCTTCAAAATAAAAGCTCTCCAATGACGCTGGGTCAATAATCTGATCAACCAATTTTTTCTTGATCAACCACAGAATATTCAAACACAACTTTATTCAGACCAACGTGTTTTCCAGTGTTGGCATTCACATTCATTAAACAGCGAGTCATGTGAGCGGAACCGAACCGGTTACCAGAACCGGACCGGTTTCTGGTAACCGGACCGGTAACGTGGCTGTCGTTGCTACTGATGATGTTCAGGTGATCAGACGTGACAAAGGCAAGCGATCGGTTCTGGAAGGCCTCTCAGGTGAAGCAGGAAGTGAAGGCATCAGGTCCAGACAAAACAAGGTGGCGCTGTTCAGCAGACATTTTCAGTAACCATAGCAAGGAGCACATCAGAGGAAGACCACACTGGAAGGAGATGAAGGCACATGCGACTCAGCAGCCAGGTGCAAAACTCCTGGCCGAGGCTCCGCCCACCAAGAGGACCGAGGCTCCGCCCACCGGGAGGGCCGAGGCTCCGCCCACCGGGAGGGCCGAGGCTCCGCCCACCAAGGGGGCCGAGGCTCCGCCCACCAAGAGGGCCGAGGCTCCGCCCACCAAGAGGATTGAGGCTCCGCCCACCAAGAGGGCCGAGGCTCCGCCCACCGGGAGGGCCGAGGCTCCGCCACCGGGAGGGCCGAGGCTCCGCCCACCAAGGGGGCCGAGGCTCCGCCCACCAAGAGGGCCGAGGCTCCGCCCACCAAGAGGGCCGAGGCTCCGCCCACCGCGGGGGTTAATGGCTGAATTGACCTTTTGAATGTCGGCGATCAAGGTTCGGGCCAGATAGATCCCCACCATCTGTCAGAGAGGTGCAGGTAAACTACAGGTGACTAGATTATTTAAGGCAGATCCAGAGCATCTGAACCTGACCCGATGGGTTCTGGTACCTGCAGCAGAGAGATGACGATGAAGATGAAGGCCACGGTGTACAGGTTGCGAGGAAGCCATTCCTCCAGCGCCGGGATGCATCCTTGATGAAGATCTTTTCACTCCATTCTTCTGTTGGGCCAACAGAACCAATAGAACCGCTCAGAACCAATAGAACTGCTCAGAACCAATAGAACCGCTCAGAACCAATAGAACGCTCAGAACCAATAGAACCGCTCAGAACCAATCAGAACCAACAGGAACAGCTGAACTCACCCCGTCCTGCTTCCTCACATCGTAGCCGCACTGGGTGTTCAGGACCGAGTCCTGAAAGAACAGAACCAGCATTACTAAGTGGATTCGGATCGGAACCGGACTCGTGGCGGGCCCAGATGGGTTCGGATCAGAACTGGACTCACGGCAGGGTCGGGGACGCAGCAGGAGAACGGGACGCCGCACTTCTCCCGGCTCTGATGGGTCCCGTTGCAGCTGAAGTAGACGTTGAGGTTCCAGTCGTCGGGTTCCTGGGCCCCGCAGCAGTGGTTCTGTTTGGGGAGAACCGGATCAGTACCGGGCCGGCCACAGAGTACCGGCGGTACCTGCGGGTCCTACCATCTTCTGCAAAGAGTCGATGAGGTTCTGCAGGTCGATGTCGTCCCGGTAGCCCTTGATGTTCTGCAGGAAGAAGTTGTTGAGCCACTCTCGGACCTGGCTCTGGAAAACCACGGCCAGAACCGCCACGGTCAGCTCCAGGAAAGAAGATGAACCCGATCACCCCGGAAAACTGGGCCGGAACACACCGGGTCAGAACCACAGTCGGCAATTAAAGCTGCTTTTTCCTAATCGGACCCCTGGTTCTGCTCCTGGCCCGTTCCACAGCTCTACATGTGCGGGTCAGAACCAGAACCGGGTCAGACGTACAAACTTGAGCAGGCAGATATTCTCCCGCAGCGCTCCCACACAGCCGGCGAAGCCCAGGATGAACGTGACTCCGCCCACCACCAGAACCAGCCAGACCGGGTCAAAGCCATGCAGCTGGGTCACCCGGGTCAGGTCCAACAGAACCCCCTGCAAACAGAACAAAACGGTCAGTTCTGCCCACTGCAGACGGGTCGCGGTGCCGCGATCCGGTCGCCTCACCTTCTCGCTCCACGCCCAGAACCCGATGGCAATGAAGGCGGCTCCGGCCAGCTGCAACAGAACCAGAACCGGAGTCACACTGAGAACTGGACCTGAGAGTACTGACTGAACCAGAACCAGACCGTTTCCTGCTGCCAAGAAGCTTCAGCATGTCGCTGACATCACTTCCTGGTTTCTGCGTGGCAACAGGAACCGAGGAGGTTCTGGTTCTGGCGGGTCCAGTGGGTCAGGTGACTCACCCAGAAGATGATGTTGTAGCTGAACATCAGGTACTTGTAGCAGCAGCTGACCTCAGGGTTGTCATAGCGATAGTAGTACATCTGGAGACACATGGCACAAACTGGGTGAACTGGGAGATCCAAAGCTTCACCAGTACAGAACCAGAACCCAGGACTGGTCTTATCCCATTTTCTTAGACAACAAATCAAATATGACTCTTCTTGGACTTGCAAGATGGCGGCTGGTGCAGTCGATCTTTAAATGCTGAGCTACATTTAAAAGACATTTTATCTCCAATAGAGATTTGAAGAACGACTCGGATACAGCTATTAGCGTGGCGAGGCTAGCCGTAGCTTCTAGCATGTAGCCATGTTGGATCTGAACTCGGAGCCAAAGGAAATCTCTAAAAAGTGCAATCTTCATGTTGGTTATTGTTCGGTGACTTCAGATAGGGACCTTCATTGTCATCGTTTGATTTCAAGCAACAAAAAACTAAAACTAGCTTCTAGCATGTAGCTAGAAGCTACGGCTAGCTAGTTTCCCTCCTCCTATCTGTGCAGGAGGGAAACTGCACAGATAGAAGGAAACCTGGGAGCTGAATGACCCTGACCTGCCCATCTCTTCCTGAACACGCCGAGCTAAAGAGGCAAGAGGTGAAAAACGGTGAGCTTAGAGAGACGCCATCATCTGGGCTGCAACTAGAAAGATCAACGAGAGAAATGGAAATAATCTCTGGAGTTCTGCCATAAAGAGGATCAGGACTCTCTGCTGGACGGAGCTTCAGGTTCGGGATTAAAAATGGATGAAACCGGAGGCTCCATCCAGAACCGTGTGATTCAGCGCAGGAAGGGAACCAATCTGAGAGGACCGGCAGCGACCCGATCTCATCAGCAACATCAATGACAACGTGCAGAGCGGTAATAACACAGTTATAACCTAATCATTGGTTTGCTTCCTAATGGAGGCAAAATCTGTCTCTGCAGCTTCAGATTTATTATTTTATTTTTAATAATAATTTCTTATTGATTATTAGGAATGAAAAGGAAGGGTCTCTTTGTTTCTGCCAATATAAGGGAGCAGATTTTATTTTGTCCAGGATCAGTAACAGGTCAGCAGGGGGCGCTGTTCTCCAAGCATCACACTGTGGTAAATGGATCATTCTACAAGTTATTGATCAGACACAGTAAATATTAATATTTAGGATTTGTTTATTAACGACTTGTAAACCGGCCCAGTCCACACAAGGACAGATAAACATTTGGTGTCTCTAGAGTCTCAGACTTTTGTCTGATTAGTTTGGACGTTGTGGACAAAGTGATGGACAATCATAGGACAGATTATTGAAAATTTAACAAACCTTTGCTACAAAATCTAGAATTTCCAAATGAATCCGTGGAGGTTGTCAGCTCCAGGCCTTTGGAGCTGATGACTTCCACTTCCTGTTTCCTCATGAAACAGGAAGTGGCCCATATGATGATTATTATGTTTTCCTCTGAGCTCACCATCATTCACTCAACCTAACCCGACCAACTGGTTCTGGTCGGGTTCTGGACCAGAGAAAGAACCTTTAAAGCTCCACTCTGAACCAGCTGACAGGTTTCGGTCCCGGGTTCAATTCGGTCAAAGCAGGAAGCTCCAGAACCTTGACCCGAGCCTGGGTCATTAGGGCGTACTGTTCCTTTAAAACAGAACCGTAAAACCCAAACTGAGCTGAACTCGGAACCGAGAGGAAATGGATCATGATCCGGTTAAAGAACCTTTCAAGTCAAAGTTCCCTCTAAACTCTAACCTTTAACCCTAACCCTTTACATGACGGTAACGTTCCATAATAACCCGGAAGTGGAGGCAGCCTGACAAAGCGAAACCGACCCAAAACCCGGTTCGAGCAGAACCGAACCGGCTTCCATCTGGTAGGGTTCTGCTGTAAAGCCTGGTCTGAGCTCGGCCCACTGGTTCTGGTTCTCAGTCTGGACAGAACCGGAAGTAGTTGGAGCTAACGGAGCTCTAAAACCCGAAAGCAGAAGCGGAACCTGAGGGGAATCATTCTGGATCAGAACCGGTCTCCTCACCTCTCGGATCGATCAGTGATCAATAACTCCGCTCTTCTTCTTCCTCTGCTCCGACTCAGTCCTCCTCTTCCTCTTCTTGTGCTCCTGCTCTTCTTCTACGATTGTTTACCAGCAGGCCTGCTGGCAGTGGCTCGAGCGCCGCCAGCCGGCAGGAAGCGGAAGCTGCAGTGTTGTGCCGGAAACGCGCTTTGTCGCGGGAGTCGCTGCCTGTTCATTGAAATGAAGCTTATAGTGCAGTCATGTAGAAAATGTTTTTCCATTTTTATCGCTTTATTTCTCCAAGTTAGCAGGAGGGAGGGGCATATTTCAGATTATTAGTCTTTTGGATATGAAACTTATGGCAGGATCCTCTGCATTGTGCTGGTTTTATGTGACCCGGTTTAACAAAACATGTTGAGTTACAGGCTGCAGCTGCACACAAAACATGGTACATCACAGAAATAATCTTCATAAATCTAGAAATACACTGAATGTATTTAGATGCAAAATAAACAGCACACACCCTAACCCTGCAGGACAACGTGACAATTTAAAGACAATACCACACAAGGAGAAATAAAAGTTAAAACAATGACAGAGATTTTAGAGGCGTTTCAGTCAAAGAAGAAAGAATACAAATAGCAAAGAATAAAAAGACCTTTTGTGTAATTATAACAAAAGAGAAATAAAACCAGGTTACACCAGAGAACAGGTGCGATGCGCGTTCCTGCAACACGACACATTTCTGGGTTCTGATGATCCGAAGTACCCCGTCAGATTTTCCTACCGTAGCACCGATAGATAGCCAGGTCTGTCTGTCGGTGCTACCCGTCTAAAACTGCTACCATCATGTTTACTAACAGAAACTAGCAGATTGTTAATCATAAATATATTGGAGAACATTAATTGAGTGACTGAAGTGGAAGTTGAGCAGTTATGCTTAACATAAGGACAAAACCAGAAATCAATTTATATTTATATATATTCATGATTTAATCAATTCATAACTCAATCACATATAATGATCACAAAATGAGAAATGACTAGTTTTTATACTTGAGCAAATTCCTAAAAGTGTATAAATCATATATTGATCTGAAAATGTTTTTCTACATTATAAACCAAATTAAAACTAATCAGAAAATATCGAGTGTATCACATGTTTCGGTATTGAAACTGCTCATATCTGTTTTATCAGAGTTTGAAGATATTAAATGAAACATGTTTTCATTTTAGAATCTGCTGTTTGATGTCCTGGGTCAGGGGTCAGAGGTCAGCAGAGCTCTGTGGGTTCAGGAACCAGTTTGAAATTAAACACAGATAGCTGATGAACTTTGGTCTCACTTTGTGAGAAAATGTTTCTATATGAAATGAACGTAGCTATTGTAGGGTCAGGGGTCAAGGGTCAGGATTTCCAGCCTGGAGGAGCCCCAGCTAAAGAGGCGGGGTCTCAGGACTTATGGCAAGCTGTTTTAAACATAAATTCAGTTTCATCTGACTATCCGTAATTATATTCCAGATATCTGAAAATGCATTTTGACTATCTGGAATAATAATTCAAGATATCTGCGTTTACATCTTGATGAGTCAAAATTCCTTTCAAGATTTCTCAGATGACGTCACTGGATCTGTAATTTGATGAGACTCGTATCCGGAATTATGATTTAAGATATCTTGAACTGAATTATCACCAATCAAAATGACAATTTTAGATATGTGAATTAAGAATGAGGTGGAAGCCCCTTTGTGCTGCCCAAACAGTTGCCTGAAGAATTTGATGTTTCCTGCACAAAATTGTCCATAAATGGCAGAAATTAGAAAGAGCTCGGCAATGTTGGAAATGCGGAAAACTATAAGACTGCTAATGATATCTGCTAAAAAATCCTGTTTATTCATTTCTGATGAAACGAATGCCCTTAAAAGCAGCTTTGAAAAGCTAAACCTGCTGTTGTCAACCCATTTTCAACATGAAAGTTGTGAATTTTCAAACATCTTGTTTTGTTTTTTCTGTTTTTCATTGTTTTATTAAACTTTCAAATTGACGCTTTGACTAGACAGAATGCTAATTCAAGATATCAGTTTAAGATATCTTGCATAGAAAAGTTGAATAATTCAAGATAATTGCTAAAACGTCTCGTCATAAAACAATTTGATATCTGGAATGTAAGGGCAGTAAAACTGAATTTATGTTGAAACGGCTTGCCGTACAGGGAGCGCTTCAGACACAGGAAGTGATGTCAGGCGTGAACAAAGCTCAGGCAAACAGGAAGTAGCTGGTCTGTGGTGACAGGAAGTGAACCGAGATGGAGGCGAAGATGCTGCTGCTGCTGCTCGCCACTCTGGGTAAGACTGCAGGCTGGTTCTGGTCGGGCAGAAATGACTCGGCACTGGGTTCTGTTTGGGTCCGTCCTCTGTGGTTCTGAAAGGCACAGCCATCAGGAGAACCAGGAACAGGTCCGAAACAGATTGGCGGGCTGGCCTGGGTTCTGTTGGTTCTGAAGGTTCTTCTCTTCCAGGTCCGGGTCCAGCAGCCGGCAGCCATCTTGGCTGCTCCATGCCAGGCTCTCCGTGTGACATCAGCAAGAACGCCGCCGCTGTCCAGCAGGCCGTCCTCGGCGCCGCCCACTCCTTCAACAGCCAATCAAACGACGCCTTCCTGTTCAAACCGTCGGCCGTCATCAGAGCGCAGCGACAGGTACCGCCTACCTGGGACAGTTGTTGCCATGGTGATATGGGAGGGGTCAGAACCGTCAGCAGGTCCGGATTCTGGTGTCTGGATCCAATTGGTTCAAAAAACCTGGAAGTCCAGTTTCTCCAGAACCATCAGAGGAGAATCTACTGGGTGGGAACAAGTGGGCGGATGACCTCTGACCTCTGACCATCAGCGCCACATAAAGACAGTCACAAAGTCGGCCTTCTGTCCCCTGCAGAGCGTCTAGAGGTCTGATGTCTCAGTGGCACCGATTCCTGCAGCTGCTGCTGGACCAGAACCAGAACCAGGAGGATCTGGACCCGGTTGGTTCTGCAGTCCCTCATTGGTTCCCTGCAGCTCAGAGACTCTAAACAATCACTGAGCAACACATGAAAGATCTGCTCAGGTTCTGGTTCTGCATCAGAACCAAATGAGGAGAAGCAGCGTTCAGCTTCTATGCACCACAGATCTGGAACAAACTTCCAGAAACTGTAAAACAACCGAAACCCTGAGATCCAGAGTCCAGACTGAAACGTAATCAATAATCAATAATCAATTTATCGACAGCTCTTGACTTAATGTCACGTTACATTGTTGATTCATGACTTTGTGTTTTTAGGATGTAAAGCTCTTCGAAGGCTTTGCTGCTGAAATGTGCTGCACAGATCAAATTGATCTGATTGGTCGACCCGGTCAGGAGGAACCGGATCAGAACCAGAACAGACGGAGGCGGGACAGTTAAACCAACAGTAGTTTATTAGAAGCTCAGGTCTGTGGTGATTGGACGGACCAATCAGCCAATCAGAGGAGGGAACCAGAATAGAACCAGAACCTTTCTCACAAGAAACAATACCTCCTTTCAAAATAAAAGCACGTTCAGATTCAGTCTGAAGTGTGAGAACCAGAACCAGGTTCTGCTGAGCCTAGAACCTGAAGCAGACCTGTTCATGTAGTTCTGGTCTGGACACGGGCCCGGTTCCAGATCGGAGCAGAACCTAACGGACCCGCTCTGTGTTCCAGGTGGTCAGAGGGATCCGGTACATCGTGGACTTCCAGATCTCCAGGACGGTTTGTCCCAAACGGAACCGGACCTGGACCTGGACCGGTGCCACCTCCAGCCTCCGGGCCGGTTGGCCCAGGTGAGTCTGGATCTGAGTCGCAGGAGGACCCGATGGTTCTGGAGGTTCTGACCGACCCGTTTCTGTCCAGACCTTCCGGTGTCACCTGGATCTGTGCCTGACCCCCTGGAAGCCTGGGCGGGAAACCCTGGAGCTGCAGTGCAGATCGCACCAACAGGAACCGGTTCTGATCCGGACCGGTTCTGATCAGGATCCGGTTCTGTTTAAATGATGAGTGAATAAAGAGTTGCAGCAGATCCAGACCGGTTCTTCTATTCTACAGAACCTCCAGAGTTCAGTAGGTCTACAGGTCGGTTTAGACGGAACCGGGCCGAACCAGAACCAAGTTCACAAATCACAATGAGCTCGCCCGATTTCACTTTTTTGCAATTTTTAGAACTAGGACTGGTCTGGAAACAGGGCTCGGAACCGGGTCCGGGTATGGAACCAGAACCGGGTCAAGGTACGGAACCGGGTCCGGGTATGGGACCAGAACCGGGTCCGGGTATGGTACCAGAACCGGGTCAAGGCGGGGGTATGGTACCAGAACCGGGTCCGGTATGGTACCAGAACCGGGTCAAGGTACGGAACCGGGTCCGGGTATGGTACCAGAACCGGGTCAGGGTACGGAACCGGGTCCGGGTATGGGACCAGAACCGGGCCGGTGCAACAGCAGAGCAGCAACACAGGAAAATTCAGTCTGACATGAAATGATGGAGCAACAGAACCAGAACCGGGCCCAACTGGACCCTCAGCTGCCAACAGCAGCTATTAAAGTCCCCAAGTTCTGATCCAAAAGGACCGGGCATCAGAACCAGCAGGGTGTGAAGCCGGACCCAGTTCTACAGTCCCTGCAGGTCCAGCACGGCGATGTATGGCGAGCGGAAGGATCCGATGTAGAGTTTCCCATGATGCTCGTGGGCCTCGCTGACGTATGCGGCCACCAGGCCGTTGGGGTCGTGGAAGCTCCGCCTACAGACGCCGCCATCTTGGATCTCGGCCACCAGGCTGTAGCGAGGGACGGCCTTCATGAGGACGTCCTGGCTGAACAGCTGCAGGGTGGAAACCGAGACATCGAAGACAACATGACCTTTGACCTGGAGAACTGCTGCTGCCTGAGGCTGCGTTTACCTAGAGCGCTACGGCGGCCATCTTTACTGCCCCAAACAGAGCAATACGGCGGCCATCTTTACTGCCCCAAACAGAGCAATACGGCGGCCATCTTTACTGCCCCAAACAGAGCAATACGGCGGCCATCTTTACTGCCCCAAACAGAGCAATACGGCGGCCATCTTTACTGCCCCAAACAGAGCAATACGGCGG